TAATATATTAATTAATAGCACTACTATTTTACTTTTGCACATTTTATTTAATAAAACAATCAATAAATTAAATTTAAATATTTTAGTAAACTAAACTTTATGTATTATTGTAGAGGCAAACAAAATTAATAATAATAACAATTTTATTATATTTTAAAATATTAACAAATAAAAAAATTAAATGCCTAATTTAATTTCAATCATGATGAAAACTTATAAATAGTTTTTAAACAGCTGTAACACCATGTTGTATTAATTAAACACAATGTTAAATACAATTAGTTTGAAAGGTATTAGTAATTTAAGGTCAATGATAGTAAATTCGATCATTGGTACATTATTAATTTAGCATTATAATATATAAATTTATTTATTTCTCTATATAAAATATAATTTGTTTATAATGATTTTATGCAATATATAATGTAAGATATATTGATATCATGATAAAATGAATAAACCATAATAAATTTATGTAATGTAAAATAAATATTGTTTAATGTTTTCTTAAATTAAATGAATAATGAATGTAATAAAAAATGAATAAATAGTGTTAATTATTTATGTGATATTAAATTGTGAATATTTTATTTAAATGAATTAACAATTATTCGATTCCAAAAATTTTTACAATTTTGAATAACCGGTGGAATTAAGCCATTATTTCCCAGATATTTATTGCTAAATACTTTTCCCAATTGTTGCAAATCAGATGTTAAAAGCATATAATTTAAACTAACACTTCCATTATTCAGTGGTGTGTATGGCAGCCATTGATTGCCATTTACTGCCGGAACAGTACTAAAAAGTATATTTAAGATTTAAATTAATTGTTGTTAATTATAATTTATAACTATAAATATAATAAATACCACTTTTTGACAAATGTTGTCCATATATTCATCATAAGAGCGCTCATATATCTATCTGTATCTGTAAACTCTGTGCCTGTAACAAAAGAACTTGTAGAATTATAAAATGGTTGGCCCCAAACTAGCACTAGATCATCGGTGTGTTCGGCCCCATAACACCACGTGCTGTTATAACACATGGACTGCCTGTTGGCGTATTGCAAATAATATTGGTTTACATTAACCGAGAATTGGGAATATTGTGCCAAATATTGTCCAAACAATACCGTCGGACAGACGTATCTATAATCGGAAATCGCTTGAACTACAGTCGCCCGCAAACCATTAGTTTGGCTAATATTATACCAATCCGTAAACGTTTGAGTATAGCTTTTGGCCACACTATTGGCGAAAGACATGTTCGCAAATATTGTCATTAAATTATTGTAAGCGTTTTGTTTGGACGTTATAGCGTAGGGCACAGTTGGATCATACAGTCCTCCTACAGGTGCCACCAAATTAATCCCATTCCCAAGAAAGGCACCTTCAATAACAGTATGTCCTAACAGCACTTTTAGATCTGGCCGGAAAGTGCGTGCCTTTAATGATGCCAATGGATTATTGGGTAAATACTGGTCGCCATAACATATGGAAAACGGGAATAAATCGTTAAACAATTGAATTCCTATCCCTTTTCCAATATTCCATTGATTTGACTTAAATTGTCCCAAAAGTAGTTCATTTGTCGATTTATTGCGAAGACATTTGACATAATCTAGATCGGGATTACAGCCCATATAAGTGGCAAACTTTCTAGCTATCAAAGTGTTAGTTGATACCGATTCAATTTCGTTGGAAAATATTGTACCTGTCATAATTATATATTAAATGATATGTTTGACACGAGTAATATTATAAGTTTATATTGTCATGTACATGACCTCTAATTCTCATTGTAATTCCTAGAAATACTATTGCACTCGAAATTGTAACCCTAATCTTACATTACTTCCCGATCCGTACTCCACTGTACCCCTCAGCAACAGTCCTAACCAATCAAATGCTGGTTATTTTCCAGTACTCACACACTCTGTACCCTTTATAACACACATGCAAAACACATTGTACTCTAGTCTCTCCTCACTCTCCACACACTCGACATGAACTCCTAAACAGTCAATAAAATAAGCGTTCTATTCACGCACTCAACGACTCATTCATTCGCCATTACTCATCAACTCATCCCTCATTCTTTGTAGCCACTGAAGACAAGTGGATACTATCGGCCCGCAGAAGTCCCCCGCAGTACTTCTCCCATAGCTGTCCCCGCGCCGCAACTGCGCGAATACTTGTCCCTCTCAGCGGTCATAACAATATATTATATGTTTTATGTAGGTTCATTTGAAGGTTCATCTTAACATTTTAACGCTGAATTAATGCATATTTAGTGCTATGAGTAAACCTTTTTAAAAAATGAACCATCAAATGAACCCAGATAGATCATATTATATTTAACATTAGCCACATTTGGGAAGATTCTTATTTATCACTATATTTTTTCCTCCTACCATATCGGAAAATCCCGGAAGATACAATTGTCAAAAAAATAATAAAAATTTACCTTATTAAATAAAATAACATCTATTATACAACAATTATTTAACATACTTATTAAACGTATTTTTAATTACCCGATTGTAAAATTGCTTTATTGAAGTAAGTATTAGCATATTTTGACAATATATTAGCGCTAACGCAGTCACTGCCGGAACTCTCACCAAATAATGTAATACCACATGGATTTCCGCCAAAATGTCTGATATATTTTTGCGTCCAATTCAATGCCATTGTCTGATCCCATTGACCGGCATTTGCATCGGTGTCCGGCCTATCGGTGCACAGATAGCCAAATACTAATCCCCTAAAGTCAATGGTAACGACCACTACACCTCTTATAGCCAACTGTTGGCCATTAAAGCTATTGGCCGCAGGGGTTGCTATATTGCCAACAAATGCTCCTGGTAATATCCATAACATAACTGGTAGATTTGCATTGGTATTCATGGTTGGCGTAAATATATTTAAATACAGACAATCCTCGTTTGCATTCATAATATTTCCCATTTGTGGACAACCATTAGTAAATTGTGTGGCGTTTATGGTTTTCATTTGCGAATAACTTATAGGGACTGTACGTCGGAATCGCAAGTCTCCCACTGGGGGTGTGGCGTATGGTATGCCCTAAATATCAAATAGATAATAAATTGACAATTGTGTAATATTAATATTAATAATTACCTTGAATATATTTATTGGGATTGTGGCATTTAGTTGTGCGTTATTAAGACTTTGAGTTGATATGTTTGCTGAAATACCATTAAAAGTATAGTTCCCTAACCGTACAGTTGGAGCTATTTTTGATAAATTTTTTTATAATAATTTTTAAATAATAAGTCAAAATAAATATTATATATTTTTATACCACAATTTATATTATTTTCTTTGAAAATATGTATAAATACATTTACTATTAAAAATGCTGTTCTTGTCTTCAGCATTTTATTTAATAATAAAAAATATTTTCAACAATTCAAATCAAACTAACGAATTAATTAAATATTATAATAAATTATACGATATGTTCTATTATAAAATAAGCAACACAAAAATACCAATTTTAGATATTATCACATAAAAAATATAAATTAATAAAACTAAGTTCAGCTTTATTTTTAATGAAAAGCTATTAATAAACATCTGTAAATTCACATATAAAATACATGAAGTTTAAGGTTAATGGTAAAATAAATACAACAAATATACATAACATTGTGGTATTATATCAATATAAATTATTATGAAATTACGATAATATTAATAAAATTCACAATTATAATTGACAATAGCATTATTGTTGGTCTAAAATTGAGTTAAAATAATTTGCTCCCAAAAATCACCACAATCTTGAATAACATTCGGATGAAATCCATTATTACCCCGATATTTATTAAAAAACATTTTGCCTAATTTAGTAACATCAGCATTAAGTTCCATATAATTTATGGACACATTTCCATCACTATTAATACTGTATGGATGCCAATCATTATTATTTACTAACAAAGCCGAACTATCATAAAATGAATACAATTAATTTCATTTATCAAGATAAGTTATTAGATAACAAGTTAGCACAAATTAATACCCAGTTTTTGCAAACTCAGTCCATATATGCATCATAATTGAGCTTAATCGTGTATTATCCACAGTAAACCCTGGTAAAATAAATGGATAGCCAAACACCAGGGGTATTTCATCGCCATGAGACGTGCCATTACACCACAAACTATAGGCAGTGGGTGACAGCCTATTGGTAGACGTCAACTGATACTGATATACGGTTGCCGTAAAATTTGAATATTTTGCCAAATATTTGCCGTACATTACTATAGGACACGTCAGGTAACCATCGCTTAAGGCGTGCGCAACTGTAAGTCGCAGCGCATTTGACTGCCAAGGGTTATACCCAGTGAAATAGGGTTCAATATATTTTTGTACCACAAGTGCGGCGAACGTCGAGTTATTAATCAAGTGCTCAATATCGGAAACGGCTGTCTGTTTAGTCGTATACACATACGGGACAAACGGGTTGTAACGACTACTGTAGCCCTGGACGAGTCCGAGCGTCAGATATTCCACAGTCTGGTGACCCATCAATACCCTCAAGTTCCGCCTGTAATGCCCGCCTTTAAGCAACTCTACTGGCGATTCGGGAAGCAATTGATCGCCATAACAGACGTGAAAGGGAAACATATGGGATGTTATGCTGGGACTGGCGTCGGGAGTGTCCATATTCCAGTTGGACGAACTTAATTGTACCCTCAATATGGTTGCCAACGGCACTGACCGTAAGCACAGCACATAATTCTCGTCAAGATTGCAGTCCACTTTCCGGGCAAACCGTTTGGCCAGTCGTGTGGTATAGGACTTTGGCCGAATCAACTCGTGCATTAGGGCTGATCCTATTTACAGTAATTATGATGATAAGAAATTACATAATTTTAACATAAACAAATTTAATATAACTCTAATACCTGATTGTAAAATAGCTTTATTGAAGTAACCATTTGTGACATTTGATATGATATGAGCGCCGATAGAGACGGCGCCGGCGCTCTCGCCAAACACTGTAATATCATTGGGATTACCGCCAAAATGTGCGATATATTGTTGCGTCCAATTCATTGCCATCGCCTGATCCCAGAGACCGGCATTTCCGGGCGCGTCCGCCCGATCGGTGCACAGAAAGCCCAGCGCACCCAACCGGTAGTTAATGGTCACCACAACCACATCCCGGAGCGCCAACTGTTGGCCAGTGTAGAGATTAGCGCTGCCCATAGCAAAGCCACCCGGGTGAATGAAAAACATGACGGGTAATCTGGCTTTAGGGTCTAATGTGGGCGTCCATACATTTAGATGCAAACAGTCCTCATCGGTGTCCCAAATCTGTTGCGGACAAGAAGTGCCAAAATTTGTGGCATTAATTGTCCGACGCTGTGAATAATCAATTGGCTCTGTCTTTACAAATCGTAACCTTCCTATTGGTGGTGTGCCGTATGGTATGCCCTGGAAATTATGGTACATTGTATATAATTTTAACGGTTTAGCGTTAAGTGAATGGTTGAAATTACTTTAAAATTTATTATTTTACGGTACGATTGAGTGGTATTGCTGGTAGTGTTGCCATAACTTAAACTTTCCGTTGAGATCATATCAATGCAACCAATAAATGTTGTATTGTCTAACTTAACGTTTGCAACACATGAGTTTTTGTCACCCTGTAATTGTACATTGTTACAACACCATTTTGGTTGTTTATTTTAGTAAAATAAAATTTACCTCAAACATTATATTTGTCAAAAGGTTATTTAAATCAGTTATTGGATTATAAATTGATCCTGATACAATAAAAACAAATAATAACAATAGTAATTTTAGCATTTATAACATTGTATAAAAGAATACCTGAAATTATCCTAAACAAAGTTATTATTATAATAGAGCCATGGTGGTATTTCATTGTACAGTATAATACAACAATATTTAAAGTATATTTTAATAATATAAATTTATAAGTTTATTAAATTATATAAAATAAACACTATTTAAAAATAAACATGGCAATCAAGTATTTATTATTAAAATCTAATTACAGTAAAATTTGATTTAAAAAATTATTAAATTTTTGTATTAACTATTATATAATATTAGTAAATGTTTATTAACATCAAATTTAGTGAAACTTACGTAATATTATATTTCCTGTAATTACATCGACTGTCACTGAAAACACATGTGATTATTGACAGATCTGTGAGAAATGGATTCATTTTATAAAATACATACAGTATACATAATTAAATTTAAAAAATACTATTATAATTTATAAACTATTATTGAACAATCTCAAAATTAAACCCAGACCAACTTTAATACAATTAAATGTAATGTACATTTAGAGTAACTAAAAGTCAAATGATTTAATATTTAAGTTTAAATAATTTAGCACGAAATAAGATCAATTTCAAAACGAAGCTAGGTTAATCTAATTAATAAAATTAACACAAAAATCATGATGACATGACTGTGTGACACTCCCAATGAATATTAATATTGTTTTCAAATTATTAACTTTTAACTTGATTTTATAAACGTTTACAGTTTTCAATAATCAAACGATTAAACAATTATTTGTTTTGTTATTAAAATATATTAAATCAATAAACAAATTATATTACAAAGATATAAATTTATAAGATTATTTTTAACATTCTAAATTAAAACAAAGGTTTTAGAACAAAAGCCTATATAGTACATACATTATATACATTATGCCAACAATTAATAGACTTAAAATAAATGCAACTTATTTTTACAAATAATGTCACATTTAAAATATAGTTTAGCTATATTTTATAGTTAAGCTAATATATAAAGTAATAGAACAAAAATATGATGAATTAATTTTTTTAATTAAATAACTTTGTTTTCAATCTATTGTTAAATTCTTCTTAACTTTTCTAACCAACAAATATTATAACGGTTATGAACTATTAAATATTTATCTAATTCAAGTTAAATTTACAGTTTACTAAATCTATAAATTAAAGCTATTGCATGATATAATTGTTACCTACAATTTCTACAGTTTTAAATCACTTATGACATGAATCAAAAGTATCCCGATATTTATTAAAATTAATACGGTCAAGTAGGCTGTGATTAAATGTCACTGTTTATGATAAAATAACCAGTGATTATTTTTTGTTAAAAATTATATCAATGATAAAATAAAATGCATATAAAAACAATTAATTTTACATTATAGAACTATCACAATTATACAGTATAATTGTATAATTAATATATTTTTGCTCAAATATTAAATTGATTAATTTTGTTTTCTATAAAAATCAATAAAACAAAATTAATCTAAAATTATAATTTTTTAAAATTAAAATGCGTACAAAATTTTTAAAAAAATAAAAACAGGTTTAAATAAATCATATGACTTTATTTATAAATGATATAACATGCTGACTTAATACAATTCTTTTGTGATGTAATTATTATCATAAATGAATCATTTATTTGCTCAAAACACTATCATTTATTGATAAGACGGTAACATTTAAAAAAATACTTTTTAATACAATATTCTGCGGCATAACAACTGTATTCACTAATAATAAGTATTTTTATACAATTTGTTTATAATTAAACAATCTTATAATATTAGATATACACTATACACTATATTTTTGATAAATCTGAATAATATAATTTGCACATGTTAGCATTAATATATTAAATTGATCGCGGTCAATATTTGCTTATTTTACATGAATTGAGCATCATAAAATATACAATTCAATCAAATGACATTCATTAAGCACTCAATATGAGTGTCTGATAAGAAATAATACAATACTCTCGTTAATAATAAATATTTAATAATACAGTAAAATTATTTTTAAAAAATAAATTAAAAATTAACTTTTTGAAATATATGGTATTGTTATAAACAAAATCAATAATATTTTTCTAGCTCACATTGTAACAAATATTTATTAAGTTGCAAAATGTAAGTAATAATTTTATTTAAAAATAAGTTCATATTAAACAAATTTATTGTACATTTATTGTATAATCAACTATCAAATCAGCTAAATAAATAACAAACATGTATATCATAAAAAAATTATATCTAATAAAATAAAATGTACAAAGGTGTATTTTACTATTATATTGCCTTTAATAGACATTGCGTTACTAATGATACCTGAAATACGTGCTAAAAACAGACAACAAAAAATACATTACACTTCTCTTACGTTTGAATGTCTTATTAAAAAATAATAACATTTTAAACAACATTTTCTAATGAATTAACAAAACAATGATTTGTAAACTACTTGTGCTAACAATATGTGGCCTAATATACGGCTACCGGTGCTCCACATCACGTGACGGCGAATACATCAAACCCTCTGAATATCTCAACGAATACTTTCAGATCAAACACTTTCTGTCGGAGCACTACAAACGGTGCTCGACGTACAGCCCCTGTCCCGACCCTAACCACCGGTGTCGGGACAGTGTGTGCAAATGTGTGGACACATACCGGTACGACGTGTTACGCAAAAAGTGTGTGTCCTATCAGTGCCGCGAGGACTCCATGTGCCAGGAATGGGACCCGAATCGGGCCTGTCTGGTGGGCACCGGGCAGTGTGTGTGCGCCCAGGGCTACAACGAGATATATCACATCAAACGTGGCCTCACATGTCATAAAACGCTGGCCACGTATGAGAGTCCCTGTTTGTCCGACGACACCTGTAGTCGCCGCGAAGTCTGTACG